CGAAAAATGAATCAGTGATCTGGAAGACAGGGTAGTGGAAAACACCCAATTGGAAGAGGAAAAAGAAAAAAAGAACTTTCAAGAAATGAAGATAGTTTAAGGGACTTCTGTGACAACATCAAGCTTACTAACATTTGCATTATAAGGGTCCCAGAAGAAGAAAGTGACAAGGGAACAGAAAAACTGTTTGAAAAACTAATGGCTGAAAACTTTTCTAAGCTGGTGAAGGAAGCAGACATCCAAGTCCAGGAAGCATAGAAAGTCCAAAACTAGATGAACCCAAAGAGACCCACTCCAACACACTATAGTTAAAATGTCAAAAGTTAAAGAGAGAATCTCAAAAGCAGCAAGAAAAAAATAACAAGTTATGTACAAGGGAACTCCCATAAGACCATCAGCTGATTTTTTTCAGCAGGAACTTTACAGGTCAGAAGGAACTGGCACAATACATTTAAAGCACTGAAGGAAAAAAAAAAACTACGAAGAATACTCTACCCAGCAAGGTTATTCAGAATTGAAGGAGAGGTTAAAAGTTTATAGAAAGCAAAAGTTATTAAAAAAAAAAAAAGCAAAAGCTGAAAGAGTTCATCACCACTAAATTGACCTTACAAGAATTGTACTTCTTTAAAAGATTTCTTTAAATAGAAAAGAAAAGCCATAGCTAGAAACAAGAAAGTTACGAAAGAAAAAAAAATCTCCCTGGTAAAGGCAAATATACAGTAAAGGTGGTGGATGAAACACCTATAAAGCTGGTAGGAAGGTTAAAAGACAAAAGTAGTAAAATTATCTATATCTAAAATAATTAAATGATACACAAAATAAAAAGGTATAAAATAGGACATCAAAAAACATAAAATAAGGTTGAGGAGAGTAAATAGGTAGCGCTTTTAAAAGGCACTCAAACCTTGTTTGGTGCAGCCATTATGGAAAATAGTATGGAGATTCCTCAAAAAACTGAAAATCGACTTACCATATGATCCAGCAGTCCCACTCCTGGGTACATATCCAGAGGGAACTCTAATGCGAAAAGATACATGTACCCCATTGTTCATAGGAGCACTATATACAATAGCCGAGACATGGAACCAATCTAAATGTCCATCGACAGAAAACTGGATAAAGAAGTTGTGGTACATTTATACATTAGAGTACTACTCTGCCATAAAAAAGAATAAAATAATGCCATTTGCAGCAACATGGATGGACCTAGAGATCGTCATTCTGCATGAAGTAAGCCAGAAAGAGAAAGAAAAATATTATATGATATCACTCATGGAATCTAAAAGGAAAAAAAAGGACACTATGAACTTATCTACAAAACAGAAACAGACTTGCAGACTTAGTAAACAATCTATGGTTATTGGAGAAAGGGGGTGGGAGGGAATAAACTGGGGAGTTTGAAATTTTAAAATGTTAGCCACTATATATAAAAATAGATTTTTAAAAAGTTTCCTTTGTACAGCACAAGAACTGTGTTCAA